AAGGAAGGAAGGAAGGAAGGAAGGAAGGAAGGAAGGAAGGAAGGAAGGAAGGAAGGAAGGAAAGGCTTCTCAACTATAGATAACAAGTCTCAATAACGAAAGGAATAATACTATTCATTTAGCTTGGCTTCTACCTCTCTGCTGTTCTTCAGATGTGATAGGACTACAGATCCCATGCTTCCCACCCATGCTGACTAGAAAATTTGAAAGTTGCCATCTCAATATACCTGGAAGCTTCCAAACTGGAAAAAGCAGCTAAATTGTCAGCGGCTTTTCTTTATTCTCCTTGACCATTAATCTCGACACGCCTGCAGTTAAACAGTTGACTTTCAACAAAGAATATCCAATCTGGATAGTCGACAGGAAACTTATATTTCTCCTAGGCTGTTTGGCTGGATTTTTTAATGCAAAGAACATTATTTTCAAAAGGTAGAATATACATCAAACAATTGGTTTCAGATGAAAGTTACCTAGGACTCAGTGTCCTGTTTTCAATAAGAGAACAATATCTCCCCCCACCCCCCAAAAAAACATATTGAAAAACAGACATCATCAAAATAAATAACTTTTTCATGGCTGTTTACACCCCTATTTTTGTAATCATGTGCTTTATAAACCTGTGATTACTGCCACATTTTAATCTCATATAGGGATATATGTGAGTTTATATATTCATGCACTTAGAGAAATCTTTTTTTTTTTTTTTAACGATGGAACAAATAGGTTACAGCCACCCTGGTTTTTTTTTATTCAGAGCCGTTTCGATTTGTATGTTTTCAATCTGCATGAGGTTGGTTCTATTCAAATTGCTACCCAGATGAAATATGACACGGGGGGGGGGGGGAGGGAAATTACAGATTCATCAAATACTTCTGTAATATATTATACGATTTACAGCCGGTTAAGCATCCATAAATATAATATCAGATGCCACACGAAACGGAGAGCTGCAGGCATTGTCTGGGAAAAGCATCTCATGTTCGTGTCCTTGAAATTTATTTCTGCTTCTTTTGGAAAAGATTTGAAGAGCTACACGTAGATCTGTTGGAAGCTGCCTTGTTTCTTCTAAGAGCCCTTCCATGAACTAGATTTTGATCAATGTTTCTTTTTCTGTCTTTTAACCTGGGGAAGTTGGGATCTGCTGCAGGTTTCATAGAACAGGTTTTGCATTAATATTTTAAGATGCCCAGGGGAAGCCAAGTTTATGCCAGGGTCAGCCTAAGTAACCCCTCTACTTCTGTGCATTTACCTAATTTTTACTTCCCATCTCTCTACAAATACTTTTATTTTTCCCCCAAATAATTTAAGGAATGAATTCTTCTGCCTCTCAAAAGTCACCAACATCTAATTTCAATCAGAGGCATTTTCTGCACAGAACTCCATATCCTGTGGATGCTAGGTACAGTAGTCCTCTTTTAGCAACCAGAGTTGGGACCTTGGACATTAAGTGAAGTAGTCATTAAGTGAACCCCCTGGACTTACCTCATACTTTCCTTTGCTTTATAACCCTGCGAAGGTTCTAAAGCCAAGGAACGGTTTGCAAAGTTACTCTTTCTTCTTTGTTGCAACTGCAAAAGGTCACTAAATAAGGCAGATGCTAAATGAGGACTGCCTGTATAAAGACAGAATGCACATATCACAAAGTGATCCATTTCTAAGTGTTTGGCTTGCAAGCTGGATATAAATGGCCCCACACCCGCAGGACAGACAGTGATACTATATGAAAGCACAATTATTTCTTGGGAATGCCAGATCTCTTTTAGAGTGGAAAAATAAAACATGCACTGGTTATTTTATTAATTAGCTCTTTTTTTTTTTAACTATGAAGAGGAACAAAATTCTTTTAAACCAGGGGTATCAAACTCAATTTCATTGAGGGCCGCATCAAGGTTGACCTCGGGGGGGGGGGGGGGGGCATGGCCTGCTTGCCGTCACTCATGTCGGGGTCATCTGTGGTGGCCAAGTGGTAAGGCAGGACTTCCCTCAGACCCTCCCTCCATCTCATTATAATCTTCCTTCCTTCCCTCCTTCCTTTCTTCCTTTTCTTCTTTTTTCCTTCCCTCTTCATTCTCCCTTCTTCTTCCTTCCCCTCTTTCCTTATTTTTCCTTCCCTGCTCTCTTCCCTTCCCTCTTTCCCTTTCTCCTTTCCTGCCCCTTCTTGCATGCTCAAATGCAAAAGGGGAAACATTTATCCGTTTTGTTTTGTTTTTAGTTTGTTTTCCAGGGTGGCCCCGCAGGCCAGATCTAAGCACTCCATGGGCCGGATTCGGCCCACGGGCTTTGAGTTTGACACCCCTGTTTTAAACCATTCTGTGGCACATTCCTAAGCAAAGGTCCTTGAAAATTGCACTAAATGCAGTGAAACTCGTATATTTATGTGTGTGTGTATGTAAATGTATATATATAGTATATAATGCATATATATATATATATATATATATATATATATATATATATATATATATATATATATACACACACACACACACACACACACACACACACACATACATATGCATATTCAGGTAAAATTTCATAGAACTAAAATGTTGGTTTATTTTAAAATAATGGAGTGATCAGTTAAAGATAACAGTTTGCAAAAAAAGAAAGAAAAACTCATAACAATTTCCAACATTCACTAAGCAACAGTTTATGGGTTATAAAATTAAGCAAAAGTTATTAGGTTTCCCATTTTTCCCTTACAGTTTCTTACCTGTTTCTAATACCTAACTCTAGAGCTTTCTATCAAATCTGGCCTCGAAGTACTCTGCTTAGATCATAGTCAGGTTAGAAAGAAGACAAGTTGATAAACCAAGTTTTGATTTTAACTCCTTTTTCAAACTGTAACAAATCAGGACATTCCTGCTTCTCAATTAGAACACAAAATCTGATTAGCATAAAGATTTATTTAATATTCAAACTTGGAAAATGTGGAGAAATATGGGGAAAAAGGAGGAAACCTCCTTATTTCCTTTTTCTCTTCCATCCTTTCTTCCTTCCTCATTACTCAAAGCCAAAACAACTAAGACCAAAAAATATTAACCATTAAGAGAGACCAATGCTAAATTAACGGATCCATTTCTAAGCTGAAATGTCACCCAAATAGATTTCTTTGCAAAAATTGGTGTGCAGTTTGAGCCCCTTTACATACCATCCTATCCAATGTGTTGATCTGCTTTGGAGGTTCCCTCAATCTCTGGAGCAAATTTGGAGAATGTTGCAGGAAAGCATGGTATGGAATATATTGGGATGGAGACGGGGGTTGAGTTTCCTGAGCAACGAGTGTTAGACTTCATGCTAACCTGGAATGTTTGCAGCAGATGGGGCTTGGGGACCAAATATGTCAAGGTGGCAGCCACAACCACAACTACCATTTTTGACTTGTGGGATCCCTTCTGCAATACTCCTTGAAATTCTGAAATCCTTGACCGATCCACATGTTGTGGGTCCTATAATCAATTACAAAATTATAGAACACCTTTAAAGAAAAGAACTGTGGAAAAGACTCATGCAGATGTATCAGAATTATTCTAACATCTTGTCTGAGTCAAACTTGATGCTTGGTAATATATCCCCTCCAGCACTAACCAATCTGACCTCACATACCAGCCGAAGATGGCTAAAGCATCATGTAGCCCCTTAAAAATGATTGCGAATGGAAGTTTTCTTTCCAATTCAGATAAAAGATACAGAGACCAAACTAAATTAAATGGTAAAGGTAAAGGTTTCCTTGCCAGTCATGTCTGACTCTAAGGCACGGTACTCGTCTCCGTTTTTTGGCCGAGGGAGCCAGCGTTGTCCAAAGACATTTTCCACGGTCATGTGGCTAGCATGGCTATATGCCAAAGGCACACAGAACGCTGTTATTTTCCCATCAAAGTGATACCTACTTGCATTTACATGCTTTCAAACTGCTAGGAGCTGGAGCAAGAAACCGTTGACAAGCTCAGTATCTTTAACCACTGAGCCATCGCACCGCCTTCTAAATTAAATAAGGGACCCAAAATTTAAACCACCGTCTCTTCAATCACATAGTAAATACTCCCACCAATCAACTTCAGCTCCTGATGTCTACCTCAACGCATTTGTGAAGTTTTCCTGACAACAGCACAGAAGCGATCTCCCAAGATATTTTGTATTTTTGACTTCTCAGGCAAGTCAACGCTGCTAGTCCACCCCCAATGGCCTTCTCTCTTAAATACTAACCAGGTCTGAGATCAGCCAAGGTTGGCTAGGTGCTGCCACCTAGCTGGAAATGTGTGATAGACCTTTTTCCCCACCAATCTGTCCAACCACAGGGCTGTTCTTCACCAATTGTCGTGAAGTTTGCTGATACCCAAAAGGACAAAGAGCAAAGACGTTTACAACAGCAATTGGCACAACAAATGCAACAGCTCAATACTGCCACTTGGGGAAACCTTACAGGCCTTGGAGGATTTACCCCACAGTACCTGGCTGTAAGTAATCATCACATTTATTTACAATATTTACAATATTTTCAAAGCAGGCTTGCCGTGCTGGGTTAAGTGGGCATGGTTTAAATAAAGCAGGGAGCATCTCTATCATTAAAGGGTTGTGGAAATGAATTCATTGCATCAAATTGTCCTGCAAGGGATGTGAAAGAATATCTGAGATTAAGATAAAAGATTGCAGTGAGATTTCCTCCAATTGATGCTGTCACATTTTAATAGATGAAGTTTCTGGGTGAATGATTGTATTCTGAGGATGTCCCTTCAAGCACGCAGATAGAGATGTTTGCATATTTAACTGCACTTCTGAGCTTTACACCACTGAAAATGTTTTAGACATTGATGCAAAGTCTACATTTTTATCTTTTTCTTATGAATTCTGTATATCTCTTTCAATAGCTTAAGACCCTTTAAGAACATGCATCACTGAAAGTTGAATCTCTGCCATTCAGATAAAGGTTGTCTACACCAACCAGCTCAATTTCAAATTTTAGAAGCTGCATTCACACAACATGCTCAGCTTGGTTAATGGCTCACTTACTTGCTACATGGCACAGCGTATTGTGTGAAAGCAGTGGGTTTATTCAATGTATAATGCAAAATTAGAAAATGAGTTAATTCAGTAACCAGGTCAAGCATGAAGAATACAGTCCTCTAGTATGGAGATTCTTAGTCATGGTTGTCCCAAAGATACTTTTCAAAAGGCAGCTGGACAAAGGAAGTCTGGTTGCCTTTTGAAAAAGCACCTTTTGGGGAAGAACGCGGTTGAAATTCAAAAACAGGTAGCCCTCGACTTATGACCACAATTGAGCCCAAAGCTTATGTTGCTAAGTGAGGCAGTAGTGAAATTAGCTTTGCCCCATTTTATGACATTTCTTGCCACAGTTGTTAAGTTAGTAACAGGATTGTTAAAAGTGAATCTGGCTTCCCCATTGACTTTGCGTGGCAGAAAGTCGCATGACCCCAGGACACTGCAACTGTCATAAATACGACTCAGTTGCAGGCATCTGAATTTTGATCATGTGACCATTGGAGTGCTGCGACCGTTGTAAGTGTGACAAAAGAGTCATAAAACAATTTTTTCAGTGCCGTTTTACGTTCGAACAGTCACCAAATGCACTGTTGTAATTTGAGGACTGGCTGTATCTCTCATTACCCAGAAATAAGGCCCATTGATTTTAATGGGACTTGTTTCTAAGTAGACATGTTCAGTTTGTACTAAAGGGTTCAATAAAGAAGCCATCAATTCTCTCTTAATTTTTGGAATCCTGACCCAGAAACATTTGGTGGAAGCTCTGTGTGCTTCACACATTCTCATGCATCATCCTACTTTTCTTTTTGAAATTTGGCTTCACAATGGCTGTGTTCACACAACATGCTTCCTCTTTTTGTCTCAGCACCATCTGAAACTGCCCTGATGCCAAAAGAACATCACACAAATGCTAGCATCGCACTCTGTCTATTTTGTCTCCCCTTTCCCACAACCCCATTTTCTGGATGTGCATAATACACTTGTCAAGGCAGAACCAAAGCAAATCAGAACTCTTGAAACTTGGCTCTTTCTCAAAGTACATCATATCAGCACAGCTTCAATGGAAAACCAAATTTAAATCTTTCCGGTGGTTTTAGTATAATTAAACTAGGAAATAGCCCATCCCCAAGTGTCACAGGTCATGTTGGCCAATTGGGTTAATTGTCAGGTTCTTCAGGCACTCCTTCCCCAACCTTATTGGTTGCCAGTAGAGATGACCTTGATTTTCAGGAGAAACTCTGTGCTGTGTCTAGTAATGCATTCCAACCTCCTTCCTCCCCTTCCCCCTCTTGTGTGGCAATTGAGGAACAGAAAGTTGGCTGCAGCCAGGTTCAGTTCAAAGTTGACAACACTTCTATGTCAAGCAACCAAACCTTGAGTTATCAGCAAAAATGCAAGTTAGAAATGCAAGGAATAATAAAATAATGGCTTGCATTTACACAACACAAAACAAGTAAGCACTAAGCAAATGTGAATGCAACCTCTAGGGCTATTACTGACTTGGTTAAGAGTGTTGGATGGACAGGCAACATTTTTTATGAAATAAATTAGAATAGTTTAGTGCTCCAAATGTATTCACACAACAGTTTATTCTCAGTGCTTTAACTAATACAAAACAAACCCTGTGTTCACATATGCTAAGAAAAATAAGTTATATTCTGGCTTCATATGATAGCCTAGTTCACCCAATATGGCAGGATTTTTAGCACATGCTAAGCCACTAACTATCTAACCTCATTATATCTTAATCTAGGCTGTTATGTCAGAGCCTTTTTTGCATTAGATAAAACAAGGGTATAATTCCTATTTTAGTGTTTTTGGATTTGGATTTTAGTGTTTTTGGAATGAGAAATCATTTTCCAAACTTTTTGTCATATGGAGATATTCAGTGGCCAGTATATTTTTAGGAGAGGTTATTTGGATTATATTTTAGCTGTGTCCACACTTAACCAGGTCAAATGAAGACTGACTGGCTGCATTCACATGACAAGCTAAGCTTGATTTCTTTACTTACTTTGTGGGTGTATGTGTACACAACTTAATACATTGTAAAATTATTGGTTAGTTTAGGATTGATTATTGCACAAGTCCACAAAATGGGCAACTTAAGAATCAGTTAAGTACATTAGGTGAAGGTAACCATTGTTTTAGCATGTATGTAGACCATGGGAAAACCCAGTTCTTTGGCAGATAAATCTCTTCTACAATTGTTTCACCATGATAGTGTACATAGATGTTTGCTTTTCAAATGCAATGTAAGAAGCAGGTATTAAACAATATAATTAGAGCTGTTTTGCCAGAATGATATTATCCCAAGCAACATTTGTCAGTTTATTTTTGGCAGCCTGGTGGCAAGGCCATTTTTTAAAATCTTTTCCCATTTACATGTGCAAACCACATGTATATTTTCTTGTAAAATGGAATGGTTAGATTTGCTTAATACAACACACTTAATCAGGTCAACTGAAGACTGGCTGGCTGCCTTCTGAAACCCAGATTAACAAATCACAATTCCTGACTTCACATAACATGTGACAGCCAAACAAATAAGCCATCATACAGCTTTACATGGTTCACCCGATCTGCAGAGATATGGATACAAACACATCACTTCCCTGCGAAAGAAGAAATATTCAAGATTTGATCCGGGAGAGAGGACCTATATAGCTAGTCCAACCTACAGCAACTATGTATTCTTAAAATGTGCTGGAAATACAATTGCAAGAATTCCCAGCTGGGAATTATGGAAACTGCCATATAAATTCAGTGGGAAGGTTGAGAAGGAGGCCTTGAGACTTGAAGAACTTCTGTTGTTCCTGCCTGTTAAGCTTTCCTTAACCCATCACTAGATACTGATGAAGAATAGAAGTCTATGTTCCATGATGGTTTAAATATGTTTTCCATCATATTGACTTTACAAGTTTGGTAAAAAGAAAAGGAACAGTTCAGGGGAATCTTGTGTGGAGAAATAATAAGCCTTCCCAAATTCTTTCTTCAAATTATTCCTCCTATCCCTGTGTACCTGAGCATTTCCAGATCTGTGTTTGAAGACCTGATTGTCTTCTGCACCCCTCAAGATCTCAAGTTCTTCAGATCTGAAGTAATTCTACACCCATTACATCATGATTGACATTGCCTGTTCATAAATATACGGAATTAATGAATATGAAAATGTTCAGTGGCAGTCTTCTACACAGGAGGGGAAAAATAATTATCTAAATTTCTCAGTGATCTGAATTATGTTGTTTATCACTTTCCCCTACCACTGTCCCCTTTTCCCGCTGTGCATTTAGATAAAAGGGGCCAAGCTCCACAATTATATTGTCTGAATGCAGCATCAGTACACAGGAGTGGCATTGTGGGCTTTCGTTCAATACAGCTATTTTAAATTTCATAATTGAATGTCAATTTGAAAAGATTTTTTTTTTCTTGGCGAGATGGTTCAGGTTTCCAGTTAACCAATGCATTTTTACAGCACCTTCTTTCCTCCCCTTTCCACTCATGTATTAAGCTGCATAAGTAACTGCCTGCTTTGATCAAACTGTGATAATTAGCTGTATTATAACCAGATTTTCCATGAGGCTCACAATTTAGAATGACAGTTTGGTTTGAAGGATCAGGACAACAACATTAGAATAGACCTTCAGTATTCATTGGGACATCAGTCAGAATAAGACATTTTACAAAACTTAGGGTAAGCTTTGATCTCCACTGTGGGACATGCAAATCTCTTTAGGCAAAAGAAACTGGAAGCAGAAGTTAGAAGAAAAGAAAATGAACTCTAACTTTATTTTACATGAACATCCACAATGTGCACCTCCTTGCTTTGGTCCTTGAAATTCTACACCTTTCTGCTTTTTTTCAGGATCTCCTCCATTCCACCTAACCATGATTTCCTGTCTTCACCTTTCTTTAGATCCACAAACTCTTCTTCCATGTATTTCTTTTGCAGTTTTATTCTCAGTCATCCTATCTGTATCACTGAATAATCTCATCATTTTTCTCCCTTCCCAGAGATCTTCGATCCCACCTCTTCCTGTTTTTACTGCATGCACATCTAAACTAACCCATTCCCACAGAATTCATCTTACTTTGTGGTTCATCTGACATGCCTAATTCTCACATCCATTAAATGATGTGGATCAGGAATATCCAATCTTGGCAACTTGAAGACTTGTGGACTTCAACTCCCAGAATGCTGAGTGAAGAATTCTGGGAATTGAAGTAGTAACTTTAAGACTCATAGCCTTCAACTATCCCATGATGGCTGGGGAATTCTGGGAGTTGAAGTCCACAAGTCTTAAGTTGCCAAGCATTGAACAAGCTTTCATTTGTCATACAAATCACATACTACCTATTATAATTTTACTAGCATTTGCAAGTCTGAACTTTCTTTCCTTCCATCCTTCCTTCCTTCCTTGTCACCAACTTCAGCAATCACTCTGCCAACACACACAGATTCATATTGCTTTTTGCCATATTCAGATCCATATCCTCTGTGCATCATACAATTTAATATTCACTACAATCATTTGGGTTTTTAACCTCTAACATCATTTGGATATAAAGATACCCACTCATTCTCATGCCCACTCAAAATACTTTTAATGTCATCATAAGCTTTCCATTTATATTTGTTATATTAATAACTAAGTCCCTAAGTCAAACATTCAGGTCTTATTACATGTTTGATGTTGAATCATTCAAAATGACTAATTCTGATAGTCAGCAATTAATTCCATAGTATGAAGATTCAATGAATTTTCAACATTCAACAATTCAAGTTTATATGTGTTCTTTAAATCAACAAGGCAGGCATTCCTACATTCACGTTTTCAATGATCTGCTGAAATCCAAAAATCTAGGCAGTACATCTGTAGCACAGCATAAAGGCATTTCCCAAATTTTGCTCATCTCTGATAACTATTCATCAAATGCATTTTCCATGCTTAGCAAACTGATACACTGTATTTTTTTGCATTCACTGCAAAAAATAAGACAACAATAATGGCATTATCTAGTAGTTTATCATAGATGCTCTCTTCGCATACAAGTTACACAAATAGATAGGCGCACCGTAACAAATCAAGCCCAGTTACACCATCTATTAGCCATACATTTTTCAACATTTTCCCAGTATTTACAACTATCTTGTCATCGTTTTTCCCTTCAGCACAGAGATTTATAGCATTAATTTCCGTTCATTCTTTGTCATATTACTCTTTTCTTCTCTATACACATTATACCATGTCTTTCTCTCTGTTTTCCTTTTATTCACATTTTTTTCAACCACAACCTCCCTCACTTCATCATCACACCCACCATCCTTCTTCATACTTCTCATTAGTGCAACTCCACACACTTCTGCAGCACTTTGTAGCATAATTCATTTCATTCTGTTCCAAGCAGATTCCACACATTCTTCTCCTCCTTCACTTCCCTTAATTCTGTTGGGGGATTAATCTGTCTTTTTTCCCCATCCCGTTCATATCACCTAGCAGATTCTCTCCTGCATCTCATTCATTCAGAAAATTGGACAACTTTTCCCAAAATGCTCACTATAACCCTACTTCCTTCCTAATCCCCATTCATTGATAATTCTTTTTCATATACAGTATATTTAAGTTTTTCATTCATAATGAAACCTTACCCGAGGAGGCTACCTCTGTTATTACAAATTACATGTCACTTGGAATCATCACTGATCCAATGAAAAAATGGTTTCATATTTCTGTAGCTTTCTTCACACATTGCAATAAGCTCCAACATGGTTTGACTTATTTTAACATGTTATGCGAAACCAGCCATTGTGATTTGTAAGTGATGTTGACCTAGCCTATGTTGTGATCCCAACCAAATGTGGGTTATCCAGGAAACCATGATTAAACTATCAGGGTTCCAAGTAATGCACCCATAGAAAACAAAACTCCGAGGCAGGTATAGATTCCTCAAAGAATAGTTTTATTGCATATATCATATTGGCACAGTCCTGGTGAAAACCAACTCTGAAGGTTCCTGTGGTTTTCACCTAATTAAAAGTGAAAGTTTGTTTCCCTTCCCCAAACAATCAGTCACATGGTCCAATCAAGGTGCCGTCCGGTCGCCTGGTAACATAGCTCCTCCTCTCTCTCTGGCCAGGTGTTAGAATGTCCTTGGTTCCCAGGGGAAAGTGTTTTGTTTTGACTACAAAACCCCAGCTATCTCTATTCCACCCCCTCCCTATCCCTCAGCTCCAGTGTGGCAACACTGAAGCATCAAAATGGCTGCGGTCAGGTCAGCTTCAGGGTTGACATAAACAAACCAAGAGATAGCCAGTGTGGGAACTCGAGTATGTGTATGACCAGTAATTGATTCCAAGATTGTTCCCTGATACAGTATCTCAGCAATGATGATTGGCAACTGAATATATCAACTGCCTCCATTAAAAAATCAACTGGTTGCGCCTAGGCCAAGGCTGTCGAACTCGCGGCCTGCGGGCCAGATGCGTCACATGCTGGCCATGCCCAGTTTAGGGGAAAGTTGCGATATGTCACGTGACGACGTGAGTTTGACACCCTTGGACAAGGTGAATATGGTATACAGTTGGATTACCAAAATAGTGCACTCACTTGCAGATCCCCTTTGGTTCCCTGTGTGAACACAACTCTGTGAAAAAGAACAGCCCATTGTCAGGTTGTGCGTTTTTCAGAACCAGTCCTACAAACCATGTTAAGGAAACCAGCTTCTCTTTTTAAGTGGGGAGGTGGAAAAAAAATACTCTTGTGGTTAACCAGGATGAGTTATGCTGACTGCTAGACTGCAGAGGGCAATGATTAGTCACACTATGTTGAGCTGAAATAGATTTAGCACCTGGCAGTTAAAAAAGAGTAAATTGATTAATTGTTTTAAAGCAGCAATGTTATTGAGTTTCCCCAGTGTCTGTGTGTTTCTTAATAGAGATTAGACATTAATATGGATTTACAGCATCGGCTCTGGGGACCTTCATTCCAACACCAGGCAGAAGCAAGAGACTGTATAAATGTAAAGGAAACTATAAGTATCCCAAATTTAATTTGATTCAGATAATTTTGCTTTAATCTTAACTTGTTGCGTTATTAACCCCATTGATGTTGTTACTGTTAATTTGCAGCTTCTGCAGCAAGCAACATCCTCCAGTAACTTGGGTGCCTTCAGTGGCATTCAACAAATGGCCGGTGAGTTAAAGCCTCTTTCTTTATTCCTTTTCCTCTTTCTCATCCTGTGGCTGAATTTTAGCCCTCTTCAAGTACCAGAAGATCCTTCATCTCACCGTATGGTTTAACGGGGGAGGGGGGGTGAGTATATGCAAAAGCAGAACATCTTGGATGTTGCATTGGTTCGGAGTCGGATTCAAAGGCTTCCTTGGATTATGTTCTGCATATTTTGACTTTGGTTTCCAAGTTTCCTGTTTTAGAATAGAAGCATAGCCATCGTAGCCCTCCGGAAGTTATGAATGCTCCAACACTGGAAGTTCTTGAGATTGGATAATCATTTGTCTGAAGTGGTGTAGGGTTTCCTGCCTAAGCAGGGGTTTGGACTAGAAGACCTCGAAGGTCCCTTCCAATTTAATTATGTTATTATTCTATTCTAAATCATTCCATCCAGATTATACTGAAAGCATCTTGCTCCATTTAGGACCAGCCAGGTGTCTCTTCATGGAGCCTACAGACACCAACTTTTTTCTACGATCACTCCTTTCAGCAACTGAATACTCAGTAGCACAATATGTTGCTGAACTCTTTCGTTGAAATTATGGTGACTTCCTACAGCACATCCATTTTCTCCACTACAAATACACTGCTCAAAAAAAATAAAGGGAACACAAAAATAAGACATCCTAGATCTGAATGAATGAAATATTCTTATTAAATACTTTGTTCATTACATAGTTGAATGTGTTGACAACAAAATCACACAAAAATCACATTTCCATTATCAATGGAAATCAAATTTAGCAACCCATGGAGGTCTGGATTTGGAGTTACACTCAAAATTAAAATGAAAAAAAAAAACACTACAGGCTGATCCAACTTTGATGTAATGTCCTTAAAACAAGTCAAAATGAGACTCAGTAGTGTGTGTGGCCTCCACGTGCCTGTATGACCTCCCTACAACGCCTGGGCATGCTCCTGATGAGGTGGCGGATGGTCTCCTGAGGGATCTCCTCCCACACCTGGACTAAAGCATCCCCCAATTCCTGTGACAGTCTGTGGTGTATGGAGCAAGACATGATGTCCCAGATGTGCTCAATTGGTCTGGGGAACGGGCGGGCCAGTCCATAGCATCAGTGCCTTCGTCTTTCAGGAACTGCTGACACACTCCAGCCATATGAGGTCTAGCATTGTCTTGCATTAGGAGGAACCCAGGGCCAATCGCACCAGCATATGGTCTCACAAGGGGTCTGAGGACGTTCTCCACGGCGTCTCCAGACCCTGTCACGTCTATCACATGTGCTCAGTGTGAACCTACTTTCATCTGTGAAGAGCACAGGGCGCCAGTGGCTAATTTGCCAATCTTAGTGTTCTCTGGCAAATGCCAAACGTCCTGCACGGTGTTGGGCTGTAAGCATAACTCCCACCTGTGGACGTTGGGCCCTCATACCACCCTCATGGAGTCTGTTTCTGACCGTTTGAGCAGCCATATGCACATTTGTGGCCCGCTGGAGGTCATTTTGCAGGGCTCTGGCAGTGCTCCTCCTGTCCCTCCTTGCACAAAGGCAGAGGTAGTGGTCCTGATGCTGGGTTGTTGCCCTCCTATGGCCTCCTCCACATCTCCTGATGTACTGGCCTGTCTCTTGGTAGCGCCTCCATGCTCTGGACACTACGCTGACAGACACAGCAAACCTTCTTGCCACAGCTCGCATTGATGTGCCATCCTGGATGAGCTGCACTACCTGAGCCACTTGTGTGGGTTGAAGACTCCGTCTCATGCTACCACTAGAGTGAAAGCACCACCAGCATTCAGAAGTGACCAAACCACCAGCCAGAAAGCATAGGAACTGAGAAGTGGTCTGTGGTCACCACCTGCAGAACCACTCCTTTATTGGGGATGTCTTGCTAACTGCCTATGCTTTCCACCTGTTGTCTATTCCATTTGCACAACAGCATGTGAAATTGATTGTCAATCAGTGTTGCTACCTAAGTGGACAGTTTTATTTCACAGAAGTGTGATTGACTTGGAGTTACATTGTGTTGTTTAAGTGTTCCCTTTATTTTTTTGAGCAGTGTATATCAACAAAGGAGAATATTTGTAGCTCAGGATTGAAATGAGGGGTGTTGCTGTGCTCTGAGTTGGGTTGACTCAAAGGTTCTTTTGCAAAAGGCAATTGGACTATGTTTTTCCCCCCCTTGAGGAAGAAGACATTTCACCTCTCATCCAAGAAGCTTCATCAGTTCTGGTGGGTGGTGGGGAGATGAAAGGATTAGTTCTGGCAGGGTGGTGGAAGGGGAGAATGGAAGGAATATATTTCTTTGCAGTCATCTGGTTATTAGTACTCTAATAGAATCTCCATAGACATTTGAGATTGGTTGTTTTGTTGCAGTTTCATTACCCAAACTAAGAAACACCATTATTTTGAAGCAAATTAACCCCTCACTACAAATATATGTGTCTCACACACACACACACAAACACACACACACACACACAAATCATACACAATCTTTCTCTCCGGGCTCCAAGCCTGCTTACTTTTTTTTAGATGAGCCAAAATTTACAAAGTAAAATGGAATGCTTGGTCATTGTGATTTACATCCACTGAGAATACTTGGTCCTCTTGTTTAATTTCATTTCACAATTTTTTAAATGAGGGTTTGTTGCAATTTTCCAGCAGCAAACCTCTCAGAATTTACAGTGCCACCATCTTAGATGATGAATACTCTTCTGATTTACAGATCTGACATATCTCATTACATCGAAGCTGGATCCTCGATGAGTGTCTTAGGAATACTTCAGGCAAGCCCAAAGTCTGGGCTTGAAGGAGGTCAAGAAAATCAAGATGGCAGCCACAATCCTGTGTTTGACCCCCTACTCCTTTTTTACACGTCTGAACTGCTTGATGTTCTTTTAGCTACACAGCTGTGGTTACCATCTTAAATTTTCTGCCCCCATCCTCAAGACAGTTAGCTGAACGGCTTCTGAATATCAGCCTGGGTATATTTACTAAGCAATTTATCACTATGAGCCATGGTGGCGCAGTGGTTAGAGTGCAGTGCTGCAGGCTACTTCTGCTGGCTGCCGGCTGCCTGCAATTTGACTGATCCCTGTCTGATGTGCGGGGGGGGGAAGCAATTCTAAGCATGGCCATTACGTCTACCCTGCGATGCCGTTAGTAACCTTCCCCTCTTGCTTGATATTCTTTATTTCTCATCAAAGCAGCCTCTCCTGCACTGTTCTTGTCATCAAACATGTGAATTTATTTTTAATTATGCTCTGACCCCGTCAGCAAATTGGTGGCGCTTTTATTCACTCTTGCCACAGCAAAGGGCATCAGCTCTATCCATATGTCGTCTTGGCGTCCTCTTTCTTTTCTACCTTTTTTTTTATCCTCCCTGTTTAAAATATTATTATTAATGCTTTGCTCTGAATGGATCTTGAAGCGCGCCTATGAAAAAGAGATGAGGGTGTCCCCAAAGGCTGTTGGTGTTTTATTCCTAGAATATGCCATTACTGCATTGGCTCCAGAGATTAATGCAGAATCTACTTTCTGACAATATAAATTGGCCCGCAGGTGACGATATCGCTGAGTTATTTCCTCTGGTGCAAATCTGTTGGCAAGCACTTGCCACTCATATTATGTGCAGCTCATAATCTGGCACGGTCTTTTTTTATTATTATTATTCTCCTCCCATGAAAAATATATCTTTATGTGATAAACAACATTTTCACAGTGATGGTTTTTTGGAACCAGCTTTGAGTTAAGAAGCCCAATAGTATTTCTTGGACTTCACCCTACAGAATGAGAAATGCAAGGACCAGAAAAGTGAGTGTGTGCAAGTGTGTTGGTTTGTTTGCTTATTTGTATGAGGGCAGTGAAAGATTTTTTCTGCATAGCACAGTTAGAGATGTATTATGTCTCTGCAATTATGATCTATTGGTTGAGACAGCCCAAAGTCATGAGTGTGCTCCCTCAGAGTAAATTGGATCCAGACTTAGCCATTGCATCAGTGAAACCAGCTGGGAGTAAAATAAGCCTTAGCTCCCCCCCCCCCAATTTATCTAAATGGATCAACTCTACAAATGACAAATCTGAGTTTGTCAATTGCACTCAAAACCCAGGCAATTTCACACATTCTTCAACCAGAGGCCTTGATAGCCAGTCTGTTGGGATGATATTTAGAAAGATCTCTCAGCTTTGTCACCTCTGCCTGTAAACTGTAAACTTTTGAAGTATAAAACGCTTAGATATTGATTTATTTATTTTTTGGCTTCTCTGGTATTCTTTCTTTCATATACAGATAGTCCTCAACTTAAGACCACAATTGAGCCCCACATTTCTGTGGCTAAGCAAGAAAGCTGTCAAGTGCATTTTAACCCATTTTACGACCTACCTTGTCACAGCTGTTAAGCAAATCATTGCCATTGTTAGTAACGCGGTTCTGGCTTCTCCATTGACTTAGCTTGTCAGAAGGTCACAAAGGGACCCTGGGACGCTGTCAATGGTCATAAATATGTGCCAGTTGTCAGGGGTCTGAATTTTGATCATGTGACTATGAGGATACTGCAATGGTCACAAATGTGAAAAATGTCATAAGTCACTTTTTTCAGTGCCATTGTAACTTGATCACTAAACAAAGTGATCACTAAACACTAAACGATCACTAAAACTGTTTTACACACACATATACATGTATATGTATCTATACACCTACAGAGACACGTATAGTGCCGTGTTGGTGTGGTGTCGGGGGTTTCCGGTTCAATGTGTGAAGGGTGAAAGATGTGTGTTTGTGTTTCTTTTCAAGGTCATGGTCATGATGTGCACTGAAGACGGCGTTTGATTTCATTGTACGAGGTGCAATGACAATAAAGTAAAGTATAGGCACACACACTCACAAAATAGCTCAGGTTAATTAGTTTATTTTAATTGTGAATGGCAAAACTGAAGGGCAGAATCGGAGCTTAAGATTGATAGAAAGGTGATCAAGGAACATCTTGCTACAGTTAATGAATTTAA